GAATTCCCTCTCGGCTCTACTCTTCTCTTCCTACGGTTGAATACCACTTTCTTCCTACCTCCACCCTATCCTCGGAGTCTGTGCGCGTCTGCATGCACGGCTACTGCCAGGAATTAGGAACATACGGGAACAATAGTTCGTATATCGAATTTTACAATGAGATGCGAAGCGTTCGATAGTCTGAGAAAAAAATTAGAAATATTTTTACGACGATCAATATGGACTACCTGGGACTTCTTTATGGGACATATTTAACGTTTTGCGAAGATAAACAAGATACGTTATTTTTCCGTCGGTTCATTCAACAGACATTCGATTTGGCATATGTTAATTTTCCATTCGATCGGATTTCTCGGATTCTTTGAATGTACGAGATATCCGCATAATTCTTGACCTCCTTTTCGCCGCGACGACAGCTCTTACGCAGCTAGGATTGGCGTAATTCGAATAGCTGCGGAACAGTAAACATTAGCTATTTCCACGTTCTGCAGTAATTTCCGTCTTGCACGTGTGTCTCAAGAATGTCGAGACTGATTCTGGATTCTCTTGGCAATATAGAGCGCGATTAAAATCCACGACCTCGCTGACATAATTGAGTACTGCGCTTCAATCTCGAAATAGCGCTGAACGTGAAACGTCATTTCGAATATACGAGAAAAGCGTTAAATTCGTTGGAACATAAAATACATGAAAATAAAATCATAAACCACCACTGATGGCCTACGAGTTGAATAATAAAATTTTTCAATTTCGAAGAAATTCCGTATAGCGACATTTTTAATGTCAAATAAACTTAATCCGTCCCACTGTACACAAATTTCGTATTGAGATTTTTAATCTTCTTGACATTAATATTCCCAATTTTTCATCAATAAAGCCAAAAAAGATGCGTAACATCATGCAGGGCTGCCGATCCATTAAATATACCAGGAAAAACCCTTTTCGTTCGATACTCCAAGGACCTTGTGACTTTTCGATATTTCGTACCGATACGCCATGCGACCACGCCAAGAATAAACGGCTATGTAAAGTCCTCGGGATACCCCAAGAGGTTAGCTCCAGGTTCCCACTTCTATCGCAACTTGGAAAGCCAAGGACTTGGCCGAGAAAAGTACGAATGAGTATTCCGTACTTTGCTATACTTATTGTTACCACGAGGACGTAGATAAAGTAGTCGGGAATTCAAAAGTGATTTCAGCTCCGTTAAGTACATATATATAACTGTGTATAGACATACACACAATAGACTTTGCTAAGAGAATTCCTAAAGGATTTCCAGCGCTCCCGAACGATCATACTAAGTCATAACCCATATACGAACACAGGGAATAACCTCGGCCGTCATTTATGCCCAAAAAGACCAGCGAGACTTCTTCCTATTTGCCCGCGAGCCACTTTCCGAAACGTTATGACGATGATTCATTTACCAGTGACATTTATCTACCACGTTTCATTCGGCGGATATCGCGCGCGATACTTTGCGAATTCGCGTGCGTCCAAAGGGGATGGAATAAAGAAGGTAAAATGAAAGAGATGAAAAAAAAAATGGGAAGTCAGGGCTAATCTATTTGAGTAATGGGATCGTTTCGCGCGTCCCGTGTCAAGTGACTCTCCGATTCCGATAAAGAGAATTTACATTTTCCAGTCCTCTACTTATCCGTGTACAGGTACGACCCGATTTGTTAAACGACGACACCCCTTATATCGTATAACGCGCCTGTCGTGATTCGCTGAATACAAGTTAATTCCTACTAGAAGGGAAACAAAGAGGTCAGGATATGAATACCGCGCGCAGGCCAATAGTAAAGCGCGAGAATTCTGGTGAAACGGATAAATCTACATGAAGGTATCTTTAGCTGTGCAATATAAAGCATCATAAAACTGTACAATATTTCGTATTCATTATTAGCGTGCAGCCGTTACGTAACGAACGACATCGTACCGGTAGAGTTATTTTATAGTGACATATATATGGGTAGACGTATGTACGTATACATAAAATATAGGTATAAAGGTAGTACAGCTGATAGGTCAATCTCAAACATTATACATATATAGTATATACAAAAGAAGTATATATATATATATATATATACATATATATACGTATAGAAATAATGTTGGACACGTTTACTTCCGTCTAGCGTCGGGACGCTTAATCTCTCACGAATACGTCGAGCTCCGGTCTCGAATAGCGTGACATCTGAAAGCGTCGTGACGCCTCGCGCCGTTCGCACGCTCACGTATTTATGGTTAAAATTAAAATGACGTTTCGTCGAATCTACCTCGGGCACCATATGGTATCTCGATATCAATTGAAGCGCGGATGCATTCGGCGATTCGAAAAAGTTTTCGCACGACTTCGTTCTCGAATTGCAAGCCCGAGAATCTCTTTACGAGTCAAGTTTTGCAATAAAGTCGACACCGCGTGCTTATACCGAGTGACGTGAGTTTAGCGCGGAACGCAGAAACTTTTACGTGGCAGCAAATCGGATTTGTATTTTCTGGCGTATAAGACGTTAACGGCATTTTGCAAAATTGAAAACGTTTATGGCTTTTTTTTTTTTTAATCGCGAAGAAACAGCTCCAAGTGCATCAGTGCGTCATTGCAACTGGTTGCGAAAATAAATTTTTATCGAAAGTTAATAGTTTGCGCGGTAACGAGGCGTCTAGTGTATTATTGGTATTCGCAAAATCTTGTTTAATTATTATTTGCGAAACACCTAATAAAGTGAGAGGGATGCGATGATATAAATTTAATATGAAAATCACATTAGCTCGTGGCTCTCGAAATGGCATTACAATGCCGCGAAAGTTTGTGGGTGACGGTGTTATATGCTTTGTTCGCGAAAACGCATGGGTGATCGAGGGTCGGACGGGGTGGTATGTTTTATTAATCAATAACTCATGCAGTTTTCGTCGAGCGTGCGGTTGGACAACAGGCAATAATGCTGCACTGTAAACAGTGGATTTGCATGACCAATGAGCGGTTTCATTTATTATTTGCCGAGCGTGAAATAGAGACCGGAATAGACTTTGCGTGCCCCCTATCCACCATATATGTAAACTCGACCGAACGTTTATTTAGGTCGACGAAATTCTGACGCGTTATGACTTTTGAAAGGGGCGCTAGTTGTTTCAATCATTCCAATTTCGTTTCTATTAGTCTACCTTTTTTTTCTCTCTCTGTTGTTTTTCACGTTACGAATGCGAATCGAATGAATGCGAGAGGCGTAGAAATGTATAAGCTCCCTTTTATTGAGTATGGTGGTCGATAGATCAAAATTTTTTTTTTTTTTTTTAATTGTCAGTTTAATAGAAAGGTGTGCCCAATCGTGTTGTAGATTTTTCACTTTTTTATCTTTTTTTTTTTGGGGCAAAAATGTCAGTATACATACATACGATATATCGAACATGGTGAGTCTTGCCCGCAGAGGTACGCTTAATTAATTCGCTTGTAATAGTCCCGTTTGGCAATATTTTCTGGCGTTGAGTATTATGTGTGTCTTCTGTAGTTTAAAAGTATAAATTGCATTATGCAGTTGGGATTACGTGTAACTGATCTTTCTGGTTCTATTCTTGTATTGTTATTTCCAATTAACGTTATAACCGTTACTATCGTTTGACAGTATTTCTGTGTTGAGTATCTGTAAGAATAATCGTCCTGGTACAATTTGCTGATCGGTGGATGAAATATAGGATAAAAAAACGTTGCAACGAAAATCGTACATTGATATCGAGGAGTCGCGGAAGGCTCGACGTTAATAAAATTTTCGTACGTATTTTCGATGCAACGTTGTAAAATTTTCTTAAACGTGTCATATCTCAGCAACCGGTGGACTTTGTGAAAGTTATCGCTCAGAGAGTGCGACGCGTTATCCACGAGGGTAAATGTCTCAGAGGCAACCACGGTAAGGTATCGAATATAACGTATCAAGAGACCTGGGGACTATACCTTATAAAGGTACGCCAATGCACAATCCGAATTTCCCTAATTCTTTCATAAACGTTACTGGATATCGCTGTATACCGAAAGCGGCTTTAATGGAACGATAATTCATTTAACGTCCCATCTCATCAGCCGGCTTTATGATTCAATAACACGGGGAGGTTCACAATAATTTGAACGGTAAACGTCCAAGCGCGAACGTAACCGGCATTCAAAATACAGCATTGCGCAAGCAATCATTGCGCCACTGACAAGGTAGTAATCAGAGTGAAATACATGAAAACATCGCATTGCCATATAAAAAGCAACTGTGCTATCGGTAAAATGAATTATCGGTACGTGGAAACACGAAGGTGTGGTATATCACCTAACGTACATACAGTCACACGATATAACCATATTCGTATCATATCTGACATACGTGTTACCCATCGACCTACATGCAATAATTATCCTCGGTCGAGTCGGATTCGCCTGGAAATTCTAATCCAATACCATTTAACGATTGGGAATCGGCCTATCGCGTGGATTGCATTTAATTAAGAGCCGTCAGTCAGTCGCGGTCGGAAAAAGTGACGCGAACCCACGTCTTCCGGAATAGCTGTCGCCTTCCGTTTCCGCCGTCAGAGCACGCCGGGATAGAACGGGACTCGACCTAGTGAAATACAATGTTTCTTTGCTCCAGGGAACGTTTAATCATCTCGGCCGTTCGGCGAACAACAACTTCCACTTCTAACCCTGTTCTTGTCTTCGGTGTCCGTTCGTATCCGAGCACGTAAATAGTCGGTTTCTTCGCGTATCGGGAAGCTCGTACGAGCTTGGAAGTCTGAATGAAGGACTGTAAGATAGCGAGAGAGAATGCTCGTAGGACGTGCATGAGAGAGAATAGAAATTTATAAAATAAATATGAAAAGCTCGAAGACGATTTATACCGGCCGAGAGTATCCCGTGTCTAAGCTCCTGCCACGATAAGCATAGCTAAGTCCGTCTCTTTAAGTGTCTAAATCTTTCTAAATCAATCTCAATGTTGTCTGTGTGGTTGTGGTTGTTGGGGTGCCATGGGTTGGACGTTGAACGTAAGAAGTCATCGGCGGGAACGAACGCCAAGCGACTACACGGCGCCATTGTCACCTTCACCAGCCCAGAGTCCCACCTGGTAAGCTCTGTCTCCAGCTTTATCGAGAAAGAAAGAAAAAAAAAAGAAAGAAAGAAAGAAAAAAAAACAATGAACAAGAAAATATGCCTATGAAAGCTCTGGCTCGCTGATTGGCCGGCCCGTTTCACGAACACGCACCTGATTGGCTAACTCACGCGAATCTAGCTTAGCGCGGTGAGATATTAATAATACGCACCTACCAACACCCACCTTTGCGAATGGTTAGGTATCACGATATGTACATAATATACTTATTATATACACCGCCTATGTTATATACGTAGGTACTTATATTTGCACATGCACGCCAATCTTCACTCATCCTCGTATCACTGTACGCTGATAAGGCGCTGGGTCCTGCGTCTTATCCGCGCTCGCTCGACGATTCCGCCTGGATAGAGGCGCAGGATATTACGTGTATGCGCCAGGATGCATTCATTGGACTGGTCTATATATATATATATATATATATATATATATATATATATATATATATTACATAAAGTCAGTATTACATACGATACACGTACATCCGTCGCGTAACGTTAAATGCAGGGATCGTAAAGCCCAAAAGCTCTCGTGCCGGATGCATCCGATGCTTCCCGATGAACTCTGACAAGATACCGTAGAGCCATGCCGTAAAATTGTAATTCTAAGCAACAGCGCCGGGTATACGCGATCATCATTCACGAATCTCATTTCGCAATGAATTGGATTAATTAATTAGATCGTGCACCAAAATGCATGCGGAATCCTCGGTGAAGCACAACGCTTGCATGTGACGCATACGTTATTGTTCTTTCAGGAGAAGAGAATCTACTAGTCGACGATATATGTTATGTTTATTTCTAACAATCAATCTATACATATTGTACACAACGCATTACACACTGTGTATACTCCGTTCAAACTTACACCATTCACGGAACGGACGAGACTGTACGAAGAACTTTAACACACTCGTACCATATTTACTCGTTACGTTATATTCCCCTCGGCATTACACGCATCGCGCGATTCTAAGCTCGCATCAAAATTCGACCTTTATTATACTACAGCTTTGTCACACGTCAGACAACGATATATCATACACACATCTTGAAGGCTGATATCAGAAAGAAATAACGTGCTGCTGATACGGTGGGGCTCTGGTAAGAAAAAATTTTTAATTACTATACTATTCCTATATCCATTACATAACGTAAGTACTTGTATAGATAGTATAGATTATGGTACCTGTGAAGTGCCGTACATCAATTCTGATACTGCATCCTATTAAGTCCCAGAGGATGATTTTATATAAAATTACATAAGCCACTCCTCTGAGATAATTAATCCAACGTTATCAATCGATATCAATTATTAAATGGCGAGTGCTCGATTTCTCATTTCAGCAGATAATTATGGTTGAGGAATCCTTTATTTTTATTTTTATTTTTATTCATGCATCGGATACTTCGTATGTAACGTTGATCGAAATTACTACTACTTCCGGTTCCTAATTTCTTCGCAGTTGTAACAATTTTGCTGTCAATTTCGAATTTGAGGTATTACAGGCGAAAAGCGCGTGACTTTTGGCAAATTTACTACTGCCACCTTAATGCAGGAGACGACATATGGTTACCGTGGTTGTAAAGCCAAATTACGTATATGCTGCATATCGGACTTGAGGCATGCACGTTGCACGAAGCAGCTTGCGGTTTCCGAACCCAGGAGAGCGTTACCTCAACAGCTACCGATACGTGTCGATATATAACCACGTTCGATGGAAACATTACATATACGGTATAGAGTATATACACTGGATAGAAATAGATTATATCTATACGTAGCTGCATACGTATAACGTACATAGTATATGAAGGTTAGATAGGGTATGTATGATAGGTAATATACGACGTCGTTATAGAAACTATTATAAAGATTAACTATACTCGGGGTTTTAGATTCTTAGGTATAGTAGTTTACCGTGTGTTTTATCATACATATATTGGATATATGATTGATCAAAGTTTATTCGAACGTACTCTTGAACGTCCTGAAGTATACGATCGATCGTATCGTTGCATAAAATTTGTTCTATTAATCGCCGACTTATTGTCGCTCGGAGGAAAAGTGAACTTTTCGAATTTGCTTCCTTACCGGATGATGACGTCGTAACAGTATCTTCCATCGGGATTTTTCATCCAGTTCGAAGGTTTAATCTCTTCTGAATTCTAGACTCTCGGGATCATGACGTGGCTTACTTGAGCTAGAAACGAATCCTCGACTGTCTGGTCCCTTCTTGTTACGTGTCCGACGTTCCTGGCAACCTCTGCTATATGATGTGTACTCTGGGGTGAAGTAACGTAATCAACGGCGTGGCAGGTATTCCCTGGCGAGGATGATCAAGTCGAGCTGGACCGATAACAGATCAGTTGCTGTCTGGCTGTTGCTGTGTTTCGTTAAGAAAAAAAAAATTTAATTAGCAGATACAGAGGTTTTGAATAAGGGTCGATAAGAAATCAATGAACTGGAAGACAAGTTGATTATCGAGTATACGTATGATCTGGGTATCGGTAGCGATGAATTAATATTTCAATAGGATTGATTAATCATTGAAATGTTTATCTCGTCAGTGGCTCAACTATGATTATGACGTGGGTAAATTTTATGCGGCGGAATCAAAGCCTAAACGGTGACGGTCATACCGATAGAATCCCATAGCTTAAGCGACTGAGCAAATTAATCGAATTGGAACGCTCGTTCCTGACCAAGAAGTTTGAATAGAAATTAATTTCTGGCCTGAAGATTCTACGGGAGCCGACAGTAACCGATTCGTTGAGGGAGCCTAGGGAAATGTGGTTTCTGGTTCAAACCAACTGCAGGAGTAACTCTGGGTTGGACTGACTAACCCAGGCTTTACCTCCTACACCGTACCGTGTAACACCAGCAGCCCTTCCTAATAACATTACTAACTTACTACCCTTGCCTCAACCTGTCTGCCTCTCCTTTCTGCTTGCCTACCTATACCTGCGCCCTTGGCTACACCCCAATTCACCAGGGTGCTGGCTAGCACATCCGCCGTTCGCGCTCCCTTTGAAAGAAGGGAATAATGTAATAAAATCCGTTGAGTATTCCTGAATCGATATCGGCAGGAAAGTTTGCGATATTACGAAAGCTTTGGAAAACAAGACTGTCAGACTTGAAGATCTTTACTTTCCTTTTATACGTTCCCTCCTTTCTTTTTAACGAATTTTTAACCAATTTCGAGACAAGGGAATTCTCAGACGGTGATTCGAGTGACGCCCTAATCGTCTCCAGTATATCTATATATATATATATGTATACATATATCCGAATGAAGAATTTGAGGATTCCTGTCGAATAAGAACTGTCCAATCTTCAGTCTGATATTCAACTCTGAATGATTTGTAGAATCTCATTATACTTTATCCCTTAAGAGGTCCCGTTGAATATTGCAAATTAAACTCGCTGTAGGTGGTAGCGATCAATCACTTATGTCTATCCATAGACTATAGATGACGTGCAGTAAGGGGGTATCGTATACAAATGAAGTAACATCGTATCGGAAATGCAGTAAGTTTCTAATGGCGTTTGACTACCGTTGTGAAGTTTGCCCCTTAAAACTTAAGGATTGTCTAACCTACCATTCGGACTGTCCCCCCTCTGTAAGAGCAACACAATTTCACCAGTCTAGGCTTCGGTTTGCTTGTAGAATCTTGAGAGTGCAGGCTTCGCTGGGCTACCAGATTGATTGCTGACCCGTACAAGATGAAGAGGAAGAAAAGAAGCGGGTAAGAGAGAACGGACAGGAGGTAAAAGGGGAACCAAGCTTCGAGTCAGTAACCGTCCATTAGAGAAACACCTCTTGAAGGAACCAGAGAAAATCTAAAGTACCAGTCGTGGTCAGTGCACACGTGGCTTCGTTCCATGAATCACACGTAACCAAGATTGGCTTCCTTAGGTTTTCACTCGCTGCTACGGTTCATTTCATGGATTTAACAAGCCCTCAAACTTATTCGAGAACTCGGCTCTGTCTTGTAGTCTCATTGAGACTTCTTTTCAAGAGTTTTATAACGCGGTCGAAGCACTTCTAACAAAGAAACTCCTCTGATCTACTTAGTTGGACACGGCGAAGGCTTTTCGAAAAATTCTATTCGAGCAACCGGGTTATTATTCTGCGAACAGCTTTTTTATTGTTGTAATTTTATTTGGTACACGGAATGTCCCAACGACAATGCCAGAATGTTATGAGGTAGTTTTCTGAAAACTGAAATATTCTAAATCCACATTCCCGACATTCTCCTATGTATAGCTTCGTGTTCATGAAATACTTGAGCATCGTCCTTTATTAACGTCCTTATAAGCGTTGTCCTCATTGTACCCTTATCATCACACTATCGTGACTGATCAACGAATTTTTATCGGGTTTTCTTTGAAAATATATACTGATGGTTTTTATGATTTAGTTTTACTGTCGTTGATAATTCTATGAGGAGCAAGTGCAGAATGAAACGGCTACCACTGAAATACAATACTTGGGCCTAGCTGAGCAGGTTGCTAAATGAATTAACCAGACGGTATATTAAAGTGAAGAAACGTATAAAATCCACTGCATCCTCGCCGAGTGTCTTCTATCCCGGCTGTGGGAGGTCGCAAAGGGTTTAAGCAGATAGGAAACTCTAGGATTAGTAAATAATTTATTTCGGAAAGTAATTTAACTTTTCTAATTGATCGTCTCCGCACTCCACTCGGGAACTGAGAGTTGGCAAAATGGAGTGAAAGGATGAGAAGGAGGAGACGAGTGGCCAGTAGGATGCTGGGCTCTCGTCTGGAGCCTGGTTCTCATCCCTTTGAACACTTCAGGATGCCATTTCGCGGTTCGGACTAGTTTGAGAGAGAAAAAAAAGACATTATCTGTTCTTCTCGTAGTACTCAGAGGAATTGATCTTCCGGTTGCTAATTATAATTCAACACGGTACCATAATGATGTAACGTTATAGATTGAAATTTTCATCTACCGTCGAGACTTCCGGTTTCAAGATACATGCCTACGCACACATATTTTTACCTCGGATAATCCATAATGTTTATTCGTTCTATCTCGCATCCTTGGACCTTTTTTTTCGACGTTCGGTGATTCCTTGGGAACACGGAAGATGCTGTGAAAAAGTCCTATCGCCGAATGGCTTTCCGCACAATTTTCCTGAATAAGCACACCGTCCTCCTATTCCTATCCTCCCCTAAGCGTGCACTTGAACAGAAATACTTCCAGCAGCTCTAGATTGTCCCACTCGTCTTTTGCGAGGCACTTTACCCAGGCATATCGGGCTTATCAAGAAGACAGTTTACCTTAGAATTCCAATTTTCTGGCACGAACGAACGCCCTTTCGATACCGACTCCACAGTCGAACGTCGTCATAGAGACACATTGAAGTCCCCAGGGTGGTGAAGCCGGGCGGCGAAACAGGCTAGTGGATACGTGGCGGAAGACTCGGTATGAGAAAAAGAAGTAACTCAAAGTAAAGAGATCACAGCGCTCGTCAGGTTGTCTACAAAGAGAGGAAGTAATGATTTTTCATCACACGTGAAATTCGATATTGCACAGAAACAATATGATATATCAAACTATACCGGATATACGTGACACAGTGATTGATTGTGCTCTTTGAGACGTCGTATTTCCGGACCGATGCAATCATTCTGTGACTCACTTCTAGAACCGGATATACAGAGATGGCATCGGAAATCGCTAAAACGATTTTTTTTTTCCCGGCGTAGACACGACAGGTTGGTACGTACGTTTCAAAGAAGATATTCGACGTCTTCGGCGATACCGAAAATATCGTTACCCATGATTCCGCGCGCTTGAAAACCTTCAGAGAGCATCGAGCTACCTGCTGAGGCGAGTTGGCGGATGTGATTATCGTATCAGTGTCAGGCGGCAATATTTACCAGCCGTTCAACGATACCCCAAGAGCATCTTGTTACTCCATGCATAAAGGCAATTGGCTTCAGCCATTTGGAGACATGTTTTTCTTATTTATTTATGATAGCAGGCATATGCATTATTACGTGACGTATTTCTACCGAGGTACCTATATACATTGTGTATTCTCGTGAGACATTTCCAGTAGCTCTTGCCTATCCTTCACTCGTCCGGAGGCAGTAACCATAACGCTTGCGACCATGATGAGTATCACGCCAGCGCGATATCAACCCTTGCGGATATGAAAGGCAAAGTTACGAGGCGAAGCAAGGAAACGGAAACAGGCTGGAAGTAAAGCGTAACTCTAGTCTCGCATGTCCCCGATAGGAGGCCAGAGAATGAGACAGTTTGGCTCATCGCAAATCGCCAGAAAGGTCTAATCAAGGCGGACCGTGTTGACAGCATCCCTTGTTGACTTAAGAAAATCCTCAGAACCAACGCTAATAGACTTTACTTCCGTCAAGCGCGAAACTCTCGACTATAATGGTTACGAATCTTGTTTTTTTTTTATTTTTACTCTTTTGTTCTCAAGTTTCCTTGTACTCCGCCGTCGTTCTCTCTCTTCTCGTGCTTCCGTATCTTTTTTTTCTTCCAACCTTTTTTTTTCACCTCTTAGATCGCGGCCATGAAGAATTCCCGTGAGAATTCCTCCAATTTCTAATATAAAATCACGACTCGGAAAACTCCTGAAAAGGTTTGCCGTCGTCGGTCGACGAGAGCAGCGCCGCGGTGCGGCCTGCTAGTGAAACTCTTATATGCAGAACTAAAGTCGGACAAAGTTCCGATGGGGTAATATCCCACTCGAAGTTTACACTGCTCGGCCATGGTCGTAAAATTGTATAAGACCGCATGAATAAGGTAGGGCGCTGCAGGTGTTCCACGAATAAAATCGCCAAAGCGAGCAACCACGGCGAGAAAGACTCGAACGTCGGCGACGTTAACCGTGCCGGATCATCGGAAGATTTTCATACAGTTCTGGGAGTCCCGTCCTTCTTTGTCTTCTCTGCTCTCTTCTCCTCGCAACACAAATTTCAACCTGGATCGCTCAACCACGCTGGTTCCCTGTTCTTTACACGATGCTTGTTCTCCGTGTTTTTAAATTTCCCGCCTCTTTCGCTTCTGCCCGCCAGGTCTTAGGTACGCGAAGTCTAGAATAGCCGTGCACTGCCAGAAGCTACTGCCAAGTAAGGATTAAGGAAAGAGGTAAAAATATATTTAAAAAAAAGCAGCACTAGCCTGAGGCCCACTCGAGGATATTATACTTTCTGACAGTTTAAATAGTGCAGCCTTATTCGATTCAGACAGCCACCCCAACCCCCTTTCAGAACTCCTCCTTTGAATAATGCAGCCCACGCTTAACCACTATGAATCAGCATCGGGACAAAATGGCTCTTCCGTACAGGCTGTGTTTCCAGTTGCTAATGCCAGTTCTGCATCAAAGTGCCTCAGCGTACTAATCTGCCTGGGTAAGGTAAACTCGATATCACTTTAGAGGCCCGAAGGGAGACGCAGAGACATTCGGTTAAGTTCGGGAAACTTCGTGCCCCGAGGTATATCAATATATTATTCGCGCATATCTTTCCGATTCGTACTATCGAATTACCCTGTGCAACGGTACCACGTTCAATCTTGGAAAACATCTTCTCTAACGATGACGTAATACACGTATGTTATCCCATGAGATCTCAAGCACTCGCTTATGTACGTGTGTACTTTGCTTTAATGAATATTGGTTCGTTCTTTTTTAACCTTTTTTTTTTCAAGGTAAATGAATAAATATGCGTTCACCGCGCGTACGTGATACGTACTACGCATACGCATCTACTTGTCTATATCAATATATATCGAATAAGAATATTCTGTGACTTGTTTGTTTCAGGTATTGCCACCTTGGAAAGCTGCCAAATCTGGAAGTATATCGTTCAAAATTCGTACGAACGAGCCCAATGGATTGGTCATGTACAGTCGTAGCGGAGCTCATGGTCGGGTGGGTGAATTTTGTCAGTTCTTTGTTTTTACCATAACGATAGATGAAATGTTTTTTCATTTATTCAAAGCCAATACGAGGCTTGAACTTTCGAGACTCGATATGTGTTTCGGTAACCGATGCCTTTATCTACGGGGATATTTATTTTCTGTATTTCTCTGCGTTCTCTTTTCTTTTTTTTGCATTCCAATCCGATAAATCACTAATAACAGATTCTGTAAATACTACCGACCTAATCGTATAATAAGCCAATTAAAATGCCCTCTGAGTTAACGAGGGAGAAAAGATTCGCTAAAATGCAGACACTGTAGAACGTTGTAGCATAGAACTGGTTGGTCGATCCAATTCGCAGGTTGGTTAGGGACGAGAAGCGGTTGTAAAAAAAGAAAGAAAAGGGTTGGAAAGCTAGAAATTCGCAGGGTTGCTAATTCAAAGTGGTGTTGACATACGCACGTAGGCTAGGAAATGGATTTTCGGTGGAATAAAAAAAAATGAATTATTATTAAAAACGTCGTGTCAGTAGCATGCTTTTGTACGGGTTTGTCTGCACAGTACATACATTCCCAGTGAAAGTTTGAACAGTGACCAGTAATTCGTAAAGAGTGCATTTGTCAAAGAGAATGAATGAAATATTCGATGCTTTTAAATATTCGAAAAAAATCCAGTATCGAAAAAGAATATTCGGAAGCCGGACACCGGCCCCCTCGCGACGCAACCCCATATAATGCATATCCCATATAATGTAATATAAAAGCGATTTTCAATAATCGCGGCAAAGGGTAAGTGTAAATAAAAAATTTAAGACTTTTTGGATAAACTTGTCAATTGGAGCCAAGTATACATAATTGATGATCGGATTGCTTTCTCGTTCGTATCTGAAACCATGGGAGAATATCGACGCAACTTTTCACTTAGCCGCATGAAAACTCGTTGGTAACCCGAAGAAGGAATAGAATATTTTTTTTTATTTTCAAAAAAATATTCTTTTCCATTTTATACACGCGGGACACTTATATTCCAAGTGTATTAATTGTACAGAGTGAAATACGTGTCGACGTTAAAGTTTAATTCTCCGGATGCGCGCCAGTGAGCTCGACTTTAAATTTACCGTATTACCAAATTCCCACGGTACATAACTGGCAAATGGTCGCAGTACAGGCAAAAGCAATAACCAAAAACTTGTCGGCATAAAAGTTTCTATGAATTTTGCAGCCGGATCTATTCGCCTTTGAAATGCTTGGCGGACATCTCTACCTTCATGCGGACTTAGGAAGTGGTCCCGTTAAAGTAAGGGCCTCAAAACGTCGCGTCGACGACGGAACTTGGCACGACGTCGCATTACGTCGAGTGGAACGCGACGGTCGCGTCACCGTCGACGATTCACACGCCGAGTTTCGTACACCGGGTAAGGGGAACAATTGCAAGTATCTCTATGCTTAACTATTTGACACCACGTGACAGTCACCCCGTAGAACGGAATGACTCTGATCACGTAATTTCACGTCCATAATGACCCACGGCAAGTATCTCTTAAACGTGCGATAGGAGCTTTATACGTTAATATAGCACAAACTTACTCCAGCTCCTTGGAAATTGACGTTAATTACTTAGCTCGCTAATTATATATAATTTTACTTAATTTTCCGACACTTTTCATCCCGTCGCGAAGAAAACGAGCACAAAGCTCCCTCTATCGATTATCGTCTGTCAAAACACTAATTATCGAACAGGTACCAGCTCTAATATAAATATCCCTGACGTCAAACAACTTCAGCAGTGTTTCAATAGTAAAGTAACAAATAGAAAATTAGTTATTACTATATGTATTTTTTTTAACTTTCTTTCACGTTCTTATAGCACACTCTATCCCACCGGACCAGAATCGTTTTCGTCTTCATCAACATTTAATCTGAATCTGTATTAATACTCGGGAAAGCACTGAACCGTCGATACGGGAATCCATATTTTGCTGATATCGTCATTGAGGAATGGTTATCGACTCGTGACTCATGAGTCGCGCTCAGGCATGACTTCCTATGTTAACACAATGGGGATATATGTGTAATTTAAAAAACAGCACGAGTAAACAATTCGATTAATAGCTCTATACCGATGCTTGGTAATCGCATCGGTTCACCCACAGTAAACGTACCTACACGTATAACTGTATATTTCATTTGTGCTGTCGATTTTGTTTCGCTCTGCATTTTCGTTCGTTATCATATCGACACTGCATGCTGGAAAATATTTTACTGTACGGAACGTCATTCAAAACTATAATACATAACGTATTTCGCATTCGATCGTGTTATGTCAAAATATCTTATCTATTAGTATCCGCGTACAGGATAATCCTTTTCGGAATTATTTTTCAAAACTGAAAACTGAAAAATCAAGTTTCCCCCTGAAGATGCGTTTGTCCGATTTTGTTGAACTTTTTAGCTGGAGCTTTTCCAAGGCATGTCTAACGTTCACGGTGCATGTCAAATTTGAGAAGTGATCGTTACTGTGTCTTATATATATACATATATTAGGTTACCCAGTCTATCTCTAAATGCGCATTTACCGATCGTCAACGGAGACGCAATATCGGCGAACTCTCTAAGAAGCAAACAGATAATTTCAAGCATTCGCCAACCGAGCGGCGAGCAGTTGCGGCTTTATTGAACCAATAAATAAACAGTTCTCCAGAAAGTTTAGCAACTGGAACTCATGGCGAGCAGCGTGTGGATGACGTCAAATAATGTACATGAACTTGAACATCTAGGATCTGTAGGATCTTTCTTCTGGTCCCTGTCTATATATCTCTCCCTCTCACTCATACTCTTTCTGGCTGTACGCGTTCGCGAAGGTAACCAGCAACGCAAACTACAATGCTCGAAACTTTCAAGTCCAACCTCAATACCTATAGAATCTATAAACCACTGTTGGATTCAAACTTCCCTCGCGTCGTAACTCCCGAATTTCGTGACCAAGTACGACTATGGCAATATGCGAAATTATTCACTGTATAGACATTCCTTTGGCTTTAAAACGGGTTCACATGGCTGTGTACTAAATATATGTATATACGTTTATATCAAACCGCAACGCGTGTCTGTATAAATTTCGCACTGCGAAAAATATTCGCAGTTGTACATGTAGGAGTATCTGTATGCAAAAATTCGTGCTCACTCGCAGCCAGAGGTAATTATTTATACAAGTTTTCGGATCTTTTTCTGCCTCATTTACGTAACGATAACATACTGGACACCATATATATGACACTCCAAGTGTTTTCCTCGTTAAAACGTATCGATGTCTCTTCGATGAGCAGGTATACGTTTGCACGAGTCTTAAACAACCGTTTGATTCGGACACTTTGTCAAAGTCCTTACCGTCTTTGCCGTCGTATATAGTCACTGAATAAATTTATAATTTCACCTTGACATTGTGGCTGTTTATCTATCAGTCCTTGGTGAAATTATTAGACGCTTGAGTTATCCGTTCGTCCCTTTCTTGATGTCGACTTTAAATTTTCCGAGCCGTCAAGATGTTTCTGAATATTATCCTTTGAGATCGTATATCTAAATTATGATCTGAAGAAATATATTTTTTCAATGATCTTCAGTTTCGTTATAAATAGTGTACATTCAATACTCGTTTCATGGGGACAGGAAGATTAAATAATTACTCGATGATTTGTATGACACGTTAATTTCGCATGATTCGCAGCATCAAACGATTCTGAAATCCGTGAAAAACATTCGCGATTTAATTGGCCGCAATTATACCGAATGTAAAGCGACATCACTTTCATTATTATTTTCAATTAAAATTCGATTGTAACACGTTTAATCGTTTATCGTACGAAACTTTAGTTTACAGAGTGGAAGTTGCTTTTAGGCTTCAGCGGCTTTGACGTTATTATGATAATTCAACTATTAAGTTTTTCTTATTTTGGTACGAGGGTCAAAACATTTTCCATCTGTTATATAAAATTCCACGGGAATTTTAGAATTCGTGTTACAATTTTCAAAGTGCCGTTTTCTTTTTTTCATTAAAGTCGTAGAAATTCCAAGGGAAGTTGCGCCTGTCGACATTCTTCTGTAGAGCTTCGCATTCGCAGGAACCGCGTTCATTATGTCGGCTCGGCTCACTTGTCGTATCTGAACACGACAGAAGGATATAATTCATATAGGAAATTCTTGTCGGGAAAAGGTTATGCGAAAGCTTTGGTAAAAATGTAAAAATTTTCAGGATGGAGTAAAAAAATATATATAAATATGAGAATAAGAATATGGAAGAAAAGAGATAGTTGCCGAGATAGTTGCCTATCTGGGTAAATGTACTGATCGGATACATATATATTCTGTTAATATGAAAAAAAAAAGCAATAAACAAATAATGAGTCTATGGTATGCCAAGGTAAAACATTCCAAAACGCCGACGTTTTCCGCACCTTAAATCTAACGCGTAGGAAGTGAAGAAAGTAAGCAAGGATTAAATTCGTATTGGCAGCTGCTCGCTTCTTAGAAATTTCGGGCATTATAATTCTTAGTCAGTGATAAAGAATGTGTTGTGTAGCTTGGAAAATTCAAATAAACACAATTTGAATGTAGCATAAAACGGTCTAATGGTATCTGTGGACTGCCGTAGGTTTCTTAACGATTTGGTTACATTTCTATTATACTCAATAAGTCTTAACTGACGTAATAAGCTACTTTTAATACTTTCAAATTGCGAATTTGCGATATTCAAAGTTCTCCATGTCAAAATACCAAACTGTAATTACGTATTTATAAACGCTGGCAATATTAGATACAGTCTCACGCATTACACGTATAGGAATGTGCTTCGATAATTTCCCGTAAGAGGATCTGGCGACAATAACGCCAGGACACTAGTGCGCATGCGCAGTCGTTTGTCCGAAATGAAATTTTAATGGCTTCTCGATCGTAAATTCCTTTGGTGTTTACCACAAGTTCGGATCGCGTAAAACGTAAACGACATGCACGATCACACACGGAAGTTCGCCTTAGATTTAATTATCACTTTCGAGAATCCCAGTAGATCATTCAATTCATTATTTAACTTCTGTTTACTTCGAAATAGGTGACTCCACTCAATTAGATCTTGACGGATTGCTCTATATTGGAGGAGTAGGAGCTCCCTTTGCACCCCTGACAGTGCCGGCAGTATTATGGAGCGGAGCTCTCAGAGAAGGCTACGTGGGATGCATGAGAGATCTCGTAATCAACGGACACCCTGTAGATATTGCTGGTTACGCCCAACAGCAGGATTCAGGTAAGTCGATTTATGAGAAAATGCTGGACGAGGGAGCGGCTGGCAATTAAAGGAACAATCGGAAATACGATTACTTTCACGTTTACGTCGGAATTACTTATCCACTAGGTATTTTCCTCTAATGACCTTTCACGATTTATATCCATTCGAAATCGCACACCCTATAATTTTCTGACAACCGGGATCTGCACCGCACTAATATAATTTGTATATACCTTCTGGCTGCGAATCCTAGAAACTCGTATGTAGAGTTTACGATGAGACATTAAACCCTTTCCTTAATCACAGTCCGAATGACCTGACGCTAACTCGGACTGACGGTTAAAATGTGAAATTAATGTCTGAAAATGTATATGCCTTTGCTCAAGAAGAGGAAGGTGATCCTTTAATTGCTACAGTTGAAAATAAAAATTATGAAGTTCGTCTCAAGCTGGAGTCTAGGAGAAAATCTATATTGCGTAAAATGACATTTTTATTTATGGTAGATTTTTCGCTGTCGTGGATATTATGTAAATGATCGTAGTGTAGACTGAGTAATTTTGTTAGAAACATTTACTTTTTCATTATAAATATTGGTTGGATGAACTAATTATATCTTACGACGATCGACAGTACAGAACATTCATATCGATTGACTTTATTAAGAAAAAAAAAGAAAAAAAATTTAATTCGCTGCGGACAGGATTCGAACCTGTGCGGGCATAGCCCATCAGATTTCGAGTCTGACTCCTTAACCACTCGGACACCGCAGCTTATACGATGTATCAGCTCCTACAGTGTCTACTACAGTTACAATTCTTATCTTTTACAATTTGTATTTGAAGTTGTTGTTAAACGTAATAATCGTGTTATCGAAAAAATATTTTCCGGATATTAGCATTTTAAAACAGCAAAAATATTCACGAATCGCCTTTAACATTTAAATAACGAATGAGGAAATTTTTAAGAAATTTTATCGTTTGTTTTATTAATACTACGTGCCTACAATTTGCTGTTAATAATTTACACCAATGAAGTCACATAACACATAACCACCTCAACGAAAAACAATTTTGTTAGTAAATTCAATCTCCGTCACCAGTGTTACTTTCATGGTCGAATTAATGAAAAGATAATCGATTCTTATTCAACTATCGGATGATTGATAACACCATAAGACTGTCTAACTTTTGACTATAAAGTTACTTCAAGAAGACTCGTTATCATCAAGACTCATTAAATAAATTTTTCTTAAGCAACGATCTAACAAAATAATTATCATAAATTTTACCAACATCCCAACTATCAGCATCAAATTTGTATGCAATCAAATAAAAATGATCGCCTACAATAATGATAACACTGGAAAATCACAGAAGCAAAAATAAAATTAAAGCGTGTCCTAATAACGCACATTATGTTTCGTAGGTGCCGTGAGACCGGCTTGTCATGTACAACCCCCTCATTGTCCATCTCAACCCTGCATGCACGGTGGCCATTGCCTCGAGGGCTGGAACAGATTTCACTGCGATTGCACAGGAACACCTTTCACGGGACCTACGTGCGGCAAGGGTAAGTCAATTTAAAATGAAAAAAAAGCTCATCGCATTAAAATACACCAACTTCATTATAAAAATCACGCAACCCCCTAATGATTCGTAAGGGACCACCGATTAAGGATCGAGTTTATATCAACACTTTTATTATATATATATTATATTAGATACCGACCCCTCTAATATTTCTCACGAATATAACCGAATATCTCCACACGAAGGGTCGGTCATTTTTGTATCGTCTGGCCTTGGTCTTCGTCTTTCTACCAGATACATCCTAGAGATTAAAGGGTATACGATTTTAATCAGAAATCTAATAACAGTTATCCATCAAATAGACTGACGTAATGACGTCATACGTACAAATAACGAACGATAGATTTCAGTGAGACAATTATCACGCTGCATTTCACTTGCATAAAATTCGCTGACGTAAGGCTGCATTGCTTTCTTTATACTATTTATACTGTTACGAAAACAATATATCTTGTTGGCTTCGATGCACATCGCAGATGCATCCACACTGCATCTGAATGGGAGTCAACAAATGACTGCACTGATGCCGGAGGATTCGAGGACGCAGGCCGAGGAAGTGGTTGTGCGCTTCAAGACAACAAGGCCACGAGGATTGCTACTAGCCACCAGCTTGGAAAACAGCTCCGATCGATTGCAACTGTCTCTGGAAGATGGCAACGCGAAAATGCTGATCCACATTGGCGATCGAGAAAAGGTGAGACGATTTTCCATTTAGATAAAGACGATGCCATTGCCGGCGTTATTTGTTAGATCCAATATCCATTGAAGACGTTCGCAGTGGGTAAAGGCTGGCTGTCAAATACAAATCCACGTGCATTTATCAGAGGTGAAAAAACGTGAAAACGCTTCTCGTATAAAATACTCTTCGACGGATAACGTTACGGTGGGAATTACAGTGCGACATGGAAAAATATCTTAACACTAGATCTACGGGCATTGATTATCAAAGTCAAGATAAATTGCAAACAAAAAAATAATATTTATCATTTATGTAACTTCAAAACTTAAATTCAACAACTCGGCACCTTTTCGCAATTCCCAATTCGCACCAGTGTTCGGTTTAAGGGTTGAACATGAAAATTTGAAATCTGTCAAATTTACGAATTTCGTAAATCTAGTGTTAACCGTATTTATATTGACTGTATGACTGGCTATAATGATAATTGACGATACGATTAAGATAAGTTAGATATAAATTATATCGAATAATTTTATACTCTTATCTTAACATAGTGACTTTACGATAGTTCATTGATTATTCTACAAGAAAATTAAATAGCTGATTCGCGGTTGCAGCTAGGTAATAAAAAATTGAGGTTTAGCACAGGTTGACTGTAGGACGAAGCATTTTTTTTTTTATATTGGAAAAAATTGACACAGGGTCGTCCTTATTATTAATGACAAAGAGATTAATTAATCCGATAAAGATATACATTTGACCTGAAATTTATAGCTTGAAACAATTTGAATATTTTCTTGTAACGTAACAGGGAGACTTCATGAACTTCATCGCCAGTGAAGTTGAGCGTATCGCAATCGTGTTCATATACCGGGACCAACGAGAAGTTCAGTGACGCTCAAGTTCACGGATAAAATGAAGCGCAATTCGTGGACCTTTATTTTTTATTTCTTTTTTACCTTACAAATGATTCCCAGATAGGTTGGCCAGCGCGATTTGATTTTGCATTTTTAAAGACACGAAGAAGCTCGCCCCGCTCACATTCAAGGCTCCAGCCATAAGCACGTACACCCGTATACCTCAAGGTACCTTAGGCAGTCTATGCAACATAGATACAGCAAGGTCTAGGAGGATGGTTATTTGCAGCCGCCACTCGGTTAACCATTTTGGAGTATCTCGAGCGAACCCTTGATCCCATTCGCTGTAGAAAAAAATAAAAATCAGAAAACTTGAAACTAAAAAAAAAAGGTGATACCGATCCGGTGCAAGTGTCGGACCGACATCGAAAACAAAGGTGCCATCCGGTAGAAAATCATAAAACCCCAAGCGACACTTCGATATTGAAAGAAAAAAAATAAAGAAAAAATGATCTCATTGGGTGTGGCAGGCCTTCAGGTAAAGAACCTTAACCGCAAACTCCGTAAAGCGAGGGTGGCTAATATGAAGGGTGGTACGAGGTTCAAGTCTAAATCGCCGAGGACAGGTACTCTCGCGTCAGAATTTATAAAAGGGGTTTGAAAAGCGACAAGCTTCCCGGTGATATTCTTCATTGAAAGTATTCGCGGACTTGTCAGTCGAGAGTACCCTCCCTTATCTACGAGGAAATTCCGAGCAAGAGCCGAAATCAAAATCGTCACCCTGTATAGAAACTCAAGTATTAGTGAGTTCTACTTGCCACCCTCGTTCCTTACGACGTCACCGTCGACGCGGTCGCTTATACGTTAACTTAATACGTCAAACGGCTGAAATTTCGTGAAGTAAATGGTCTTGACATTTCTGACTACCCCGTCTTATCTACGGTAACGTGATATTCTTTTTGATGGCGATGCCACTTCGTACCAGCCAACCCAGGACACACTCCGCTCGCGTACGTCGAAAGTTCTAGAAGGTTCCATTCGTATAGACTTTGTGCACTGTCACACGTGGCGGACGTAGACGTCTACAGCTACGAGTTATATTATTGTTACGCCAGCGAAACGGACATGGCAAGAACTCATACGTATTATACGCTCGGACAACATTGCACTCGACATTTTGTATGTCAAATATAGGAAAGTCCCGACGTTTCCTATTCTCGGATACGATATACGTCTAGTGGCGTTATTGCGGTCACGATGACAGTTACTGCCGCCGTATACGTTGTACCGAGCTATATGACGTCTCGGAGGCCATTTTGATTTTCTCATACCATGTTACGTAATGAGGCTTCAACGAATGCAATCTCCTGGACTCTTATAGAATGAGGGCTACTCTCGAAGAACCGTCATGGGGTATTCGGTGCTTTATAGAATAATGACGTACAGTGCTGGTCAAAAGTATTCGTGCGGTGCAGTGCCTGTCAAACGTTATTGCGCCGATACTTTTTGAGCGGCGCTGTATATAGTAGGCAAGGGATGTTAATTGGTACATGCTAATGTTCGTATGGCTACGATCGATACTATCCAGTCAGTTTTAGAATAGAATCATTTATCTCGCTATATAATTCCCCAAGAACGTTGAGAACAGGTAGAGGGTGTCGGTCCATGGTAACGCTGTAATTCAAGGTGATGTTTCAATCTTGGTACATGGGCTCGATAATTGAATGGAATAATTAATACAAGAACGTACTGTCGTGATTAGTCTCAGGGACTGAATTAAATTGGACTGGCGAGATTTCAATAAGCTGGGGTCGCGCGTCGATTGAAATAATTGTACGTGGCTTTGATGAAAAAGTTTTGGAAATACGAAAACAGGAAGGCAAATCGTAGCGTGGAATTTGTAGCTCGAGATGATCGAAGTTGGTTGGGGAAGAAAATTTTGGAAAATTATAAAAATCACTGTGAATTAAATGCAGAAAATAATTTGATCAGAGTGCTTGAGTTTGGTTGACTTTTTTTTTCAGTGAACTAACGACCGTTGTTATCAGGCATTTACTTACTAGCGATGCCAATACACAGAGTACACATCTGTCTATATGGAGAAGCACTTAAACTTATTAAAATATATCACAGAGACCTATGTAGCTCTTCCAGCACAAAGGGGTGACTACCCTCAATGCCTTTCTAACTCCTGGACTATGGGATTCGTGGCGGCTTTCATAGCAGCGATTTGCTCCATTGTTACAAGTGCAATCTGCTTTATTGATTGTCGGAGTCTAGAAACGAATGTCTCGTGAGAGGGAAATCCGGCTAGAAGTTTTTAAGGGCACGAAATATCGCCGTAGGACTCGAAATTATCCATTTTATTTTAACTTCCTAAGCGCGAGCGTCCCGATCGGTATGAATCATGACTGTCGCACCACATCGCTCCTAATTAATCCAATCTGCGGAAGTTACGTATATTGACAAAGAAACTTTGCAGTCTGGCACATCTAATTTCTATTTGAAGTCACTAGATATTTTTAACGTCTCAACATCCGAATACTGAAAAAAGCCAGATATTTCGCATCTTGCAAACCATCGATTTATGTCTTTCCCGAAGTAGCGTTTTCGTTATATCTAGTAGCCATTTATTGAGGATGCATTCTATTTTATTTTTCTTATATGGAATCACTTTAGGATAAAATGTAAGAACGATGAATTCTCTTGGTCGTGCATAAATTTGTGACTACCAGCTAAATTTAAAATGTTGAACTAAAGGTTTCATGATACTTCACCACATTGTTGTGTAATTGTTACTGTAAATTACTACTGATGCGATTATACTAGAGAATAGAAATAAAATCTAGTACGGTTAATACGAAGCCATGAGTATCATATTGGCCACCATAACATGGTTAACAATTCGACATTATGCGGGAGCTAATGAGCGAATCGCGCTTGCTCACAGGGGAAATCGTAGGGAAATTTATTGGTTAGCAAGCTGGAAACAGTGTGATTGGGAAATTGGTTATATTCGGATATTCATTTGCCACACAAATGAAAGACCGAGCGAGCGACTCCGATGCGAGCACGAAATGCTGGTTACCAACGGAGCATAATCTTTCAATCTCATTTGTGAGTCAAAAAGAGTAAATTGAATTACGGCTGAAGCGCAACAATCCGTGAAGAAGTGTCTTCGGCCAACTTAAGATCTCGTGAAATTATCTATTCTTTAGGTTTTTAATATTCACGTGCGCTTCAGCGTGGCGGTAAGCGAGTCGAAAGACTGAAAAACAAAAGAAATTAAAAGCGTTACTCCCATACATGATGATTCACAGTGGAGACTCGAGATGAAAATAAGGAAACTAGAAAACAGAACAACTTGCCATGGAATTCAAAGGGAAATTCTTTTAAAGTTCTTTTCTCTCTTTCTCTCTCTCTCTCTCTCTCTCTCTCTCTCAATCTCCTTCCAGTCCTTTCTCATTCTTTCTTCCTCTCGCTTTTCGTACTCCGTACGAAACAAAACCTCTGGTCAGCTTGACTGAGCTTCATTTTATTTCAGTCGAGGAGTTCCTTTCTGATATATTTCTCCTTTTCCATCTCCCGTACACATCCGTATACTCCTTTTCTCACAAAACAATTCCTAGCCTGAACTCAGTCGGCAATCTTGGATTCAAGCATAGAGACATCTTAAGGAGGGAGTTCTCGAAAATAGTAAGAAGCGTTACCTACGCCAGAAGACTCCTATTTATTCTAGTGTAACATTAAATTCGCCATCCCGTCGTTCCATTTGTTTCGCCTTTGTGACGCGCATCGCGAGAAACGCACGAGACCCAAGATCGTTATATTGCGATACAAAGTCGAGCGTCACAAGCGTCGATACTTAACACTTTGGAGCGACGCCGAGCGTCGTCGTTGCTTGGCTCGTTCGGTGCACGATATTTTATTTTTCTCAGCTTTGTGTATATCCACGTCTAGCTGCTTACAATAGGCAATGGCAGTTTCGCAGATTCGAATCGCGACGCGAAACGGGATTAAAGCTGCGGGATTCGTTGGAAATGTTGATTGACGGTGATTGCGTCGATTATTCGTCCCTTTACGAGCAAAGGACAGAGTTCGAGAGAACCGTAATAATCCGTCTACCGATAGACTTTCGATATAATTTCTCCCCGCAAAGAGAATTTCTTACTCGACGTTTCACTCGGCGTGCCTTTCCGCGCTTTTTCCTGATTGTTTGAGCAGGCACTTTTTAGGGCGTCAACGCACCGTCCCCTTACGCGGCCTATCAAATTGTACTGCTCCCAATCTGCATAATGTCCCTTGTCGTGGATTTTTTTTTTATTTTCTCTCTCTCTCTCGCTCCCTAGTATTTCCTTCCCCACGTCACGAAAACCATTCGCCGAGTCGTAGGAAAACACGTGAGCGTGCATTTGGACGTTTATTTTTCTTTTATCCATTTCCTAGGGTTTCTCGCTCCTCTTTATCTATTTTTTACTTTCTTTCTCATCGAGAACTTCCAGCATCGCTTTAAGAGTGGTTGGAGCGACGTTGAAAAAAAATTTTCAGCTTCACGTATACGAATTAATATTCGGAACTTTTGCGCCAAGCTGAACGTTCCTTTTCGGCGTTTAGCTCTCTCTCTTTTTTTTTTTCTTAGGGACTTTCTTCTCGTAGGTTCTCGCTTTAAGGCTATCTTCAAAGTAGTCATCCGTGCTACAACGTAAAACACGCATTTTCCTATGACATGGATACTCAACGTGGGTAAAGTAGCTCAGGGGTAATAGTGCAGTAACGCGTGTGCATCGCGTACGAATAGTCAATTTTCGAATGCCGGTGATAAGGCGGTTGATAATAACAGTGGCATAGGGGCGACGTTATTTGACAAACGTGTGTCAGTAGCCACGTGGTGATAGATGATATCATCGTATCCGGTTGCGCCGACTAGCTGATAGTAACGAGTTGGCTGGATTTATGGGAGCTTAACTAAATGAGAGCAAGGGCTCGCTGTGATAGTCTGTTCGTGAAGAACTTGGCGCAAGCGTACTTTATCCAATATTGATATCGCCGTTGCTCTGGTACGAATTCTGGCTAGACAAGTTTTTGTTAATAATTGTACCTGAAAGTGAATTTTGAAAATATTCTAAATAAATTCACTAAGATTTACCTGATTGCATATCGATCCGACCTCCGGCTATGTCTGTCACGATTTCATCTGATATACTTTTACATAGAAAACAACTACGTCAGGTGGGAACTGATCGGATTACATATAGTTAATAATTCGGTGTACTCGCAGTCAACTTGATACGTTTTATAGGATTAAAAATTTACCATTAAAATATTTACTTCGATATTTGCTGCGTTGATAGCCGTGGCTGTTACGATGAATTAAATTGTTAATGAGGATTTTAATTGAATTTTTTACATTTTCAGGTACTCGTCGCAGGTCAGGGGTTAAACGACGATATGTGGCATACCTTGAGATTCTCCAGAAGAGCCAGTACGCTGAAATTACAAATCGACGACGAGCCGGCTGTCAGAGGTACATTTTTTTTTTTTCGTCATTTATTGTATTTTTGGAAAAATGATTTTTCTGGACATCATAGTTCTTGCGCTTTGTTGTTCGAACATTGCGAAAATGGTGTGACAGAAAATTGCAAGATATAAATATTTTGTTGGACTTGCCGTAATATCTGTAAGGGTGACGTTAGTTTCGCAAAAGACTGATCATACGGCGGAGTAAACATCGACCCATTGCGAAATCCAATATACGATTGGCAAACAGAAAATGCGACAGGACACACCAACGTGGGAACTAAGCAAAAACGTATGGGCAGGCAAACCAATCTGAACCAGTCAACCCCTACGTGTCAACCTGCCGTCCCGACGCAACGGCGAAACCAATCAACTATTTTGCATCTGGACGCGACGTGCGATTTGCCCCACTTTGTGCTGGCTTACCTATAGGTATCCGCGGAACGTCAGTACTCTGAGTATTACCAGTACCAAAATACGTGTCTGAGGGCAATAAAGAAAATGTCAAAAATCGTATTCTTAAAATTCGTCATATGAGATACAAATTCATATATGAAAATTCTCTTTGCAAGTTAGACAAATTCGTCTGTCAAATTTTCTAAGTTTTTTTCGTTTTTTTTTCGTGTATTTAAAAAATTCACATAACGATCGGCACTTGGAGAATGCAGGTATACAAAAATTTAATAAAACTTATAACTTCTTAACTTTTAATCAAGCAATACGTACGATTTTCATTTTTACGCAATTCTGCGATAAGCACTTGTGCATACTAATGAAATACGGGCTTATCAGTTGGCTTTTAACTTTTTCATAGTCCATAATTAGTATCTCTGCCACACTAAAAGTGTAATTCCATTCGAAGCAATAAGTGAAGCAATTACCTAGCCACGTGTTCACGTAAGCGGGGAAAATGGAAAGAAAGCTCTACTTAAATTTGCATCCGGTATGATATGTGTAGGGAAGCAGGATGTACGGTAATATCATACTTCAAAATTTCTATTTAGCATAAATATCCCGCATCCCGCGATACCGGTACTCGAGCTCCTACTGATATATCGTTCCTTAGCCGGAGTGCAGGTCCGCCCCCAGTCTTCAGCTCTTGCGAAACTTACCACAAAACTTGCCCGTGGCGAAACTGCCGGGGAAACTATAAATTACGAAATTTGCCGCAAGTTTAGATTGAGCGCGGTGGACGACAAACAGCGACGGTGCGAGAGCTCGAGGATAAATGAATAAAGCTTCGCGTTTCGTTAGAGTCTGCGGCAGCGCGAGCTAGGAAACTTTCTGTATCCTCTAGATTATAAGATGGGCTTCCAAAAGAGCTGTCTGATAAGAGGGCGAGGGTTGCCTTTATCGAGGGGTGGAATGAGTAGCTAACTTCGGAGAATCGAGGGATGAAAAAGCATCGGGAAGACAGGGGAATGCTGGAACTAGAAGGCTGTGCTATACGAACATCTAGACGGTACGAGAAACGGCTACGTGTATATAGAAAATTGTGCTAGTACTTATACAGGCTCTTAAAAAAAAAAAATTGAGATTCAATTTTTCCTCGTTCAAAGTATCGCAACTCGTATACGGATGCCGGATGAAAATCTAATGGCTAATCGTGCACCGTTAATTTCCTGGATTAAGATAATAAATTAATGAGGCGAAATACGCCGTTGTTAGAGATTCTCACGAAGCGATTTGTATAGTGGAAACTTAGTTAGAATGCTATAAATTATTAATGAAAACTTTTGGAGGAGTTTGACTGTGGGTTTATCGTGTCGTAAAGCTGGAAGGGGTTGGTGGGTATATTAAAAAAAAAAAAAATTCCACCGAAATATTACCCCAGTCATTTTTCACCTATCTAACTTTTAAGATCCTCTTAGAGGTAGTTTTCTGGTTACCGAGATATGTAGCTTTGTAAGCAATGTATGCTCCTCTACGTGTAGGCAGTGCAGCGACTTTGAAATTGAAATTTCGCCCACTTGCGCTATTACGGAGCAGCATGAGAGATGGGTGGTATGGTCCCTCACAAATGCTTCCTCGGTCGATACGAAAACTTTAGCTGGGGCGTTTTTGGAAAAGTACAGTTTTCACTTGAAAACTTATTGTTCCAGTTGTCTATTTACTTTCGACCTTACGAAAATACGAAGGATCTCGTGTGTCGTATATACAGGAACAATTTTTCCTCGCATCGACTTCCGTTCAATTTTCATTTTTCTTTTTTCTTTTTCCTAGAAAATCGTGAAAATCGACAAAGGACGTCGAGAAAATAAAAAAGAATAAGGAAAAGAAGGATTTCCCTCGAGAAAAGCTGGGAAAATGTTTCACTCTTAAATTTGACAACGTCGACGTTCAGCCATTACAGGTTACGTGCCTACGTCGAAGGTACGGACTACTCCACGTACTGGCAACCGTTTTCCAGTGCAACCCGACATAGGAAGGTTCATTTAGCATTCATAGCAAGGCAGACGATTGAAGAAATCGGTTGGAATGCAAATAGCGCGACTTAAAACTTAGTGGAGTCCTCGGATTTAAAATGCGTAATTCCCTTTTAAATTTCTAATTTATCCAGACAGCCTTGTTCTCGCTTTTACGTACTTTCTGGCGTGTCCGTTTTTAATTTTCTTTTTCTCTCGCGTATTACCTACGTTTCTCTCTATCGTTCCGACCTGCCATCTCGCTCGAACGAATTCCCAGGGAATCGCCTCTCGGTACGATAATAATTGCATTTATGCAAATGCATTTTTATCGGCTCGACGCCCAGGGTGAAAAGTGCATTCCACGCGGAGCGACCTCTGACCGTCGCCATTTATCCGAGCCTATCGGCAAATCATGCAAATCAATATGCCTATATACATACGCACAAATACTACAGAGACTACAAATTTAAAAATCCCTAGCAATTATTTCTTGAACGTAATTACGAGACACAATTTTCGTACAGAGTTTACCTACATGACTTTCGTAATCACTAGATCCTCTTACCCGGGGCAATAGCTGCTCTTTTGCCATCGCCAGATGTTTCCAACTTTTTCAGTATCGTTTATCGACTAAATATTTTCTTGAATTTCAACACCCCCTTTTTTTTCATTCGTACAGACTTTTGGGCATAATAACAAAAAAGAAAGCTTGTGAATACCATACTAGACGTTTATACTTTTCGAAATTCAGACAGAACCCGATTCAATCTCTTATTCCGTCAATACTATATGATCCACCGATACCGGCGGGTTCGAAAAATGGCATTGTTTCCGTGGGAGGTATCGTCGTATGAAAATATCAAAATGGAATAATATACGACGGCATAAAGTCTCAATGTAGCGTTCAGTCCCTTGTAAACCTCGCGTATTAATACATATGTACACTCTGGGTGTAACCATACCGGATTTCGCACTGTCTATAACCAATAACCAATACATTGCAGAAATAACCGTCAGAATGGCAGACCGTACCCCATTACGCTCTACTTTATTGGATTTAGATTTACGTCCATTTATCATATAAATTGCATTTGTTCGTTCCACGTGCTCTTTACTATTCGTATCCTCTCGGCTTAAAAACCTCCCTTGACACCCCCCGCGCCCTGAAAGATATCTCAATATGAGGATAGAGGAACATTTTTGATTTTTACTATTCAACACCTAAAGGAATTTTATTCCTACGCTTATATAAAGTGCGATCAAAAATAACTTGTCAGCTGACATTAATGCTTTTATTTCACTCTTATACACGTAGTACACGTACCCCCATAAAACGCCTTAATATATATTTTCGTAATATTACTGTACATTAGCTGTGTACTCATCTTCGTATGGTGTAATAAAAAAATAAAATGCCTTAAAATCGTAATACCACGAATAGAAAAAAATCCCAAACGATCTTCGCCGAGGTTGTAAGCGAAGAAAAAAAAAAGAAATTGGACTTCTATAGCAGAATTGAAGGAAGCGAATGAAAAATGCAATTGTCCCTGACAAAGTCGTAAATCAAATATTCTACCCTTTTTCACATTTATCGTCCCATCCCTCTATATATATATATATATATATACTATACGTCTATGCCTGCGTACCTCTGCCTTCTATGTATCCAGAATCCTATTTGAAACTTTTTGCAAGACCAGAAGGGTCGCTTCCCGATGAGTCTCGGAATCTAATGGAGTTTCAAGAATGTCAATATAATTTGCATAGATTCCGTTCTAAGTGCAGTATAAGGGCGAGATAAAAAAAAAAGGTGCATTGGAGTAATAAAATAAATTTCATTATACCCAGTGGCCAATGGTGAACCGTCATAGACGAGATGAAGAGTACTATGATAAAGCAAGAGAGGTAGCGAGTGTGTCGTAACAGTTCCAATATCTATAATATGATCGATATACGCTTGGTTTGCCAATCAACTGCGTATAGCAACGAGGGTATCGTCGTCCGTCAACCCCTATGAAACACCTCCGTCCTAGGATCGGCCCATAAACGGATGGCGAGTACCGCCAATATTGAGTTAGGTAGCAATACCCTAAATTGCCAGACCAGCCCTTATTCGAACCTTAGTCCCATATACGCAGACGTGAGACAGGTCTATAATCGATCGTTTGAAAATCGAAGCTTTCCTATAAAGTTACATGAAGTTGGTATGAATTAACTAAACCCTAAAGAAAATGTATACCAATATCTCAGAAATAATTAAATAAATCATAGTATCCTGATTCCTGGTTCCGATTCGGATGGCGTAATTTAATTTGTATTTAATCGGGAAATAAGTTTCCCCTCGTTAGCCATACGATTCTTCGACGTCGATCAGAAATATATTACAGCCAGATTTGTTGGCGGGTCGCAAACGTGGCCGTTCGTGTGCTTCAAAATTACGGAGGCAGGTAGCAGACTGTGAAGCTGTAGGTTTCACCTTGACTACGTTGCTGCTAGGGTCAATAGCTGGTCCATCAAACGACATTTAATTGGATCGTAAATTGAGATCAAAGCGCGAGCTACTTGCAATATAGCTCCCTGCTGAGTTGAAGACGCATGACAGAGATTTAACGTGACGCAACCAATCGGTTCTCAGGGGCAGTTGCCTTTGCGTCGCAAGTGCAATGCTATTTGATTAAATGAATCCTCACAGATTGGCATTTAATAAATGAAAACGTTAATCGATTTCTATTGACGTTTCGAAATAAATTCATCGATGCATGATAAATGGTGGACTTTTTTTTTTTTTTTTTTTTTTTTTTTTTTGAATCCTCACAGATTGGCATTTAATAAATGAAAACGTTAATCGATTTCTATTGACGTTTCGAAATAAATTCATCGATGCATGATAAATGGTGGACTTTTTTTTTTTTTTTTTTTTTTTCATTTCGACACGAACTGAAAAACCAATATATGCAGTTTACCTAATGCGTATGCAAATATATTTCAGGCTGTATAGATATATCGAGAGTGCATGTCAGCGTCACGATTCTCATAGAGATTTTCACAGTGACGTTTAATAAAAATTGACTTTTTCTTTTATTTTATCATTAACTATCTTTTTTCCAGCTGAAACTCTTCTGGGAAAACAAAGCATACTCGAATTTCGCACTCTTCACGTGGGCGGATATCTGCACTCCGGCGAGGACGTCCCGCATTTCGTCGGTCAACTTCAACAAGTCTGGTTCAACGGATACCCGTATTTAGAGATCGCAAGAAGTGCTGGTTCCCATCAAGGTTCGCATCAGGGCATCACGCCGATCATCAGGGTCACCGGGAAATTTGGCAAGAGGAATCATCTGGTTCATCATCCGGTGACCTTCACGTCGAAGCACACTTTCGTTGGGTTGCCAGTACTGAAAGCTTACGTCGAGACGAACATCTATTTTCAGGTAAATATATATAATTCACGATACCCGCTTCCTGAAACGTCCCTTCCGCAATGTGAATATTTTTATATACGATAAAATCTGTCCAATTTACACGATTAATCAGAAACACTAACGCGCGATCGTAATAACGAATGCTCGGCTAGTCTATTTATACACGAAAATCCTGTAGAACAACTCGTTACGAGAGATATTACGTGCATGAGCGCTGATCGTATTGACTATTACGCGTTTAATAGCTATAGCCTATTAACGTGGGTAAGCGAACGAAATTTTAACATTTATAAGCGTTACGGTTAACATTGATATCTATTTCGTGTAAGCAATCGACGTAATGTAATTTCGGTAGGTACAGTAATAGTAATCGACGTACTTGTTAGGGGCCTCAAAGGCCACTCGGGGAATGTACCCTGGCAAATTCGAATAGGGTATATATCCTGTAGGGTTATCGGTAGATGGTATTGGTAGGGGACGGTCGGTAAAAAAATAAAATCCCGTAAATCACGAGACATAAATTCGCAATGAGTGGGATTTGAAAATGCGCTTCACGCGAAATACGCGTTTCGCTAATGGTTGACGGGATAACCGTGTAATTGAACGTCTACAAATTTGGATCAGCAGAATCCGGGCGCGCGAGAAAATTAGTGCCCGCAGTCAATGGCGAGCGAGGATACAAATTTTTCGTTAACACCCCCTAATTAAATAGTATTAAACGCAGGTCAGAGGTCACGCGCGTGAAGTTGGGTTAAAATAAATGAAGCGAAACTCGTGGAAGATTTTTTAACGCGAGCACAAAAAACAAAGAGACAGAGAAAGGGTTTTCATGCGGAGGAACTGAGTGTATGTCAAAGTCCCCTAACATCCTCGCGGACGAACACTGCGATACTAATTGAAGGACTTACACGGCAGCTGGGTGGTAACATCATGGAATACGCTTAAAATTAAGCAGATAAGTTACGCAATTTAAATTCCCTAATTAAGCCCTGTACCTAATAATACGCAAGAGCTTAGAGTGTAGGTATATATAGATATAGAACGGTAGATAGGTAATACCTGCCTCGTGACGGTCCTTTGAATCCTTTCGTCCTAGGCAAAGAGATACAATCTAATGTAATAACTTCTCGGGCTCTTTCTCTCCTTCTATGTGTATTCTCGAAAAGTGTCAGCAATACGGGCAGGAAGACAAAAGTTGCCGAAAGCGATAAAACCGCGTAGGTCGTAAAAATCCACGAGATCTCCGTCCACGATTTCCAAGGGAAGATGGAAAATTCGCGCGCGTTTGTGGGATCGTGAAAAGTCAAACGAATAATCTGGCGTAATTTATTTTGCGAAAATAAAAAGAAAAAAAAAAAGAGTGAAAAAGAGGATGATCCTTCCAGCAGCAGAATGCTAAATAGCAGGATACACCATCCACTTTGCTTAAAGTTCACCTGCTACCCTCAACCGTTCTGATATATAGATACGTCTTGCTTGAAATCCTTGAAGCTCGGAAAAAGAAGAATATTAAAAAAATAATAAAAATGGGAAAGCCACGTGCTTCAAAATACATATAATATCCTGTCCGTCTATAAGGTTATAACTGTTCAATTCTGATCTCAATACTGCTCGTATACCTGCTAGTGCCTGTACCTGTCAGATTTCCTGAGATTACTACAACAGGTTCTCCATTCAGTAAGGATTTGCGTTGAGATAACGATAAATCGTTGCTTCGTCGCTACGCTAAAGCTATTCTAATCTCCCGAGCGACTGTACTTGGTCTAGGCTAGGTAATAGACGCACGGATGAGCCGCGGCGTGACAATCGATTGACAATTTGTCTTATGGATTACAGTTCAAGACACGTGAAGCAAATGGCTTGATACTCTACAATGCTGGAAGGGAGAGAGACTTCATAGCCGTGGAACTGGTCAATGGACACGTGCATTACGTATTCGACCTTGGGGATGGTCCCGTGAGAGTAAGAGACACTTCGAAGTCCAGACTGAACGACGGCAAGTGGCACGCGGTGAGCATAGGCCGACCGGCTCCCAAAAGGCACACCCTGGCAGTCGACGACCACGTGGCGGCTGTCAACAGCTTGGGCAGCAACGAGAATCTGGATTTGGATGGAATACTTTATATTGGTAGGTTGTAACGCCTGAGGGATGATGGCGAGTGAAGATTTTTATTTTATTAATTTCTTCTTTACGGGGCAGGAAAATCCGTTCTGTAAATGTGCCTTTATTAGAAGCTTGACCTGGAACCAGTCTCAAGAGTCGAGCCAGTCAAGTGTGATTTCTTGCGAAGGCTCCCTGATGAATGCCGTCTGCTCTCATTGTACCTACGGTTCGTTTACGTTAACCATAATAATGATTAGGGACGATTTATCATCGGCGGACTGTTCGATCATCACGCACTTGGCTGATCTTCGACGACGTTGATTGCTACAATTGATTTAGGCCTCGCTGCTTCAACTTCCTTCGGCACCCTGGGGAGTTTCGTTAGGAGTTCGGGAATAAGAAGGGAAAGGAAGCGGATGCTGTGTTTCGGAAGTTTTTCGAGCAGATGTTGTCCTTCCGCGTGACTCGCGCGGAACGTGAAGAATGGAGGTTTCGTCGAGACCGCAAAATATTATTTATCGAGTGGCTCTCTGTATATTTTGGACTTTGTGGAACTCAGGCGGTCCTGCGTGAAATTCGGTATAAATAAGAATACGAAGCTCTTGCACTTTTCAATAAATGGGTCGTTACGTTGCAGGGATCGTACTTCAATTTATTTTTGTCTATGGTTTCCTTCGCCGCAATTTCTAAGGGACGCGGATAACTGTTTTCATGAATACGTAAAGACACTTGACATGATCGAAAGACACGCGAGACAAAATGATCTACTCTTATAAAGGACGTTCAATTCGACATGACTTTCGTAGTACATCTCAAGAGAATTTCAATTTCTGTATAGAGATTGTCTCCAGAGTTATTTCAGGACTCGTATTCTTTGACTGACGTGTTTTAAAAGTAAAAATTTATTTTTACAAATTTTATACCGACTCTCACGGAAACGATGGCTGTAATGTTCGTTGTTCTTGAAATAAAAAAAATTTTTTTTAGTGTTGTACGAAAATTCATTGGATAATAGAATTTATGTCATTTATATTTTCGATTTTTTTTTTTTTTATCAATGTGGCCTTAGCAAGTTCTTCCGATACGAACGTTGCCAATTTTGTGGATACCGGATGAGAACTGTTCCATATGATAAATCATTGGGTCGGTTTTGATCAGTATGTGTTGAGGGATTTTTTTTGTTGAAAACGTATGTTTCCCGCTTTTACGTCGCTTTGCCAATCCTCTCACGCGCTCCGGCACCCATTCGTAGCCAATGACAGCTGAAAATATTGCTGCGGGATCAAGTGGCGAGCGCTTCGTTTCAGCCGAGCACGCAGCAGTTCATGCGAGTCCAAATTCCGAGTGGAACGTGAAAATAATTTTCGGCATGCTTGCCCAGCGCGACGGGATTGATTTATACGATGATATAGATATTCCTCTGCGTTAAAGTCTGAAGGGCAAATTTTCATAATCCAGTGATACGTCGAGTGGCTGCAATTCAATTTGCCAAAGTTAAATGTCTGAATACTAAAAGACTCGGGTACCTGTCATCCAGAGACTCGTGGCTGCTTTTTAAGTAAATTCTACCTAAACTTTCTATCTCGGCGTTATAGAAAATGGGTTTTGTCAATTTTCCATCTCTTCTCTGTCTCCGTTCATTTCTTATCCCTCGAAGAAACATTTAAAGTCTCTTTGGGAATTTCAGGTGGCGTGGAGAAAGCACAGTATGCTCAATTGCCGAAACACATACTCAGCCGACATGGATTCGAGGGATGCCTGGCGTCTCTGGACCTCAGTGGCGAGAGTCCTGATTTAAAGGCCGACGCTGTTGTTCCTAGCTCCCAAGTGGAATCCGGATGCGACGCTTACACGAATCTTCATCCTGGCAAAAAGTGTACTCACGACGTCTGCTCCAATCACGGTACTTGCGTACAGCAATGGAAGAGTTATACATGCGATTGCGACATGACCAGCTTCACTGGACCTACTTGTAAAGATGGTACGTGCGAACGCTTGCAAGTAGTAGACAAGCAATATCATCCTTGATCTTTGATCTGTTGCTTGAATTTCATAACCTGACTAATTATTAATCTTTCTCTTGCAGAAGCTACAGCCTATGAGTTTGGTCCTGGACGAGGACTCATCACGTACACCTTTCCACCTGATCGACGACCGGAGATGAAGAAGGACACCGTGGCTATGGGCATCGTCACGGCTGTTAATGACGCTGTGCTACTTCGAATAGAATCGGCTTCGAGCAACGATTACTTGGAAATTGAAATTGTTAGTGAATTCGTAAATCCTTCCTTCTAGCGTTTATCACGTGTCGATTTTTTAAAGCTGATAGCAATAAGTCCACAATATTAGGTTAGATAATATATATTTTTATGTCATTCGTACAGCGGTAATGTATTTGTTAGTTTTTATTTTTATCAGTTTCTCAAGCGGAATTCAATGTTTGTACGGACTATCTGTATTATTGAGATGAAACAAGTACGTTTTGAGTAGAGAGGTGTTCTGTTTGCGCGAAATGATCGGATTTTCTAATGGTGGATCATAACAGTAGACTGAGATTTAGCGAGAATTTCTATTTAGATTTGCTTATATAATTCTAGTTGAAGAAACTTTGAGCTATCTGTACTTTACTCGAATTTCACCAAGAATCTGTATACTTACGAGGAAAGAAACAAAATTATGACCTCTGTGAAACTCGAGATGCAATCTAATAGTAAATTGCAGGAAATCTCGAGGAATGTAATTTTAACTTGTATATGTATCCAGACTAAAGAGATAACCTAAGTTAGTCCTAATTCCGTACACTGCACGAGAACAAATTTGAAAAAAGTGCTCCTGCAATTACCGATAAAATCATGATTGTCCAAGTTTCACAAAATTGCTCTTACGGTCCATTATTCTTGGAATACATTGAAAATTACTTCATAATGGAAAATCAAGGGTTTTCAAATATACATTTTTCTAGTATACAATCACAGATCTCGTCGCATACGAAATAAGAAGTTAAAAATTCTTTCCTTACCATCAATTCGATACAAATCTTACCATTAAAAGCGATCGGTATGATTTCAATGACGTAATCGAGTGACGATTCAAAAATGTAATTAAACAGAAAATATTTCACGTCGACACAATTTACATGAATTGTGTAAAGAATCTTTATTCCGCATCCGTGAATTCATCTCGATCCACATCAGTCCTAAGATAATTACTGCCAAAAATTATCTCGCGCACACGTAAAGATGGCGAATCACATAAATGCAATTATAAATATTCAGCATCCCATTCAGAAAACTGTTTTAACAGCCCAGACTGATCTTGTTAAACCTTAAGCGACCCTTCGCGCGTGAATCGACACAACGAAATTACAAGCTCATTTATTTTGACGATTCGCCTAAATCTAGTTAACGAAACGGTTCGAAAATTATTCCGATCCCATTCGATTAATAACCAAACGGCCTTCTCGTTAAGGAATAAATTTTCCCACGAATATATTTTGAACAGGCACACGAGAATCTCTGAGAATATTATTTTTTACGATATCATTAAATTAATTTTCACGATCGCAAATGGATATAAAACATTATGGCACTCCGGCAGCCAATCCTCCGGTACCGTTCTCATATCAATTAATCGAACAATAGCACGATCACGAACAATTTTTTTTTACAGGTCGAAGGAAACGTGTTCGCCGTTTACAACATGGGCACGAACGATCATCCAATTGGCGAGGTTGGTGTCAAGGTAAACGACAATCAATACCACGTAATTCGATTAACCAGGACCGGAGCGAACAGCACTCTCCAGATCGATGACTACAATCTGCAGGCCAATCACCCAACAGGTTAGTGATCAATTTAATTTTAAAGATACCGATTGGCCCTTACTCAAACCAGGATAATATAATTAGACCGACGTGAGAAGCGCGTGAAAAAAAATTCAAATGGAATAAAAAAAAAATTTAATATCAATTTCACAGCTTCAATATACTTCGTTACGCATAACGTAGGCTAGCAAGAGCACTCGGTTGAACTTTAACTGATCCGTGGATCATTTTTATTCAACTTCATGAACTAGGCACTCAGCTGCAAGTTGTGCAACACACTGGTCCTTGTACCGTACTACACGCCACGGGTGTTGCATGGCGACTGACGTGTCGTCCAGCCAACTCCTGCTCTTATAAGCTTCGCGAAAGAAAGAACGTTGAACCGTGTGAAAGTGCAAGCCGCACGGTGCCCCGCAGACGCACCGCGTCAACTTTATCGCTGGTGGGAACGTTGGGGAGAGACCTTCATGGGGAAAGTACATGATGGGATCTTTCGAAGGGGGCGTGGCTTCGTGAGTCGTAAAGCCTGCGTCACACATTTTTATCTTGTTCACGTTGAATCGGAGGATAACGTCTGGACGTCCCTCGGGGCACATTCGCAACTCGATGTTACGCGCGCAAACGTCCGCAAGGCTTTTCTTCGCAGGTGGTAATTGAACGTGAAACTTCGAAAGCAAGGAACACATTCAGTGTCAGCGAAGGGAACGAATAGGCATTTATCATTCGACGGGATTCTATTGGTCGGACTTTACGAACCCTTGCGGGGCTGTGAAATAGGAAAGCCTTTGTGGGAGGTGGTCTCGAGGGACCCTTTTAGCGAGTCCAAAAACACTTAAGAAAAAGTACCTACTGAAATTTTCTAGTTTCCTCATCGGGAAAGTCTTCGTAATTGGTCTTGGAAAACTTTTTTTTTTGACTTGGGAAAAATAGTTTTTTAGATCTTTCTCTACTACTCGTACGTGACTTCTGAAGCTCTGTTATGTTTGACCTAGATTGTGGATTTTTTTTTCTCTGTCTCCACGCAATAGGACCGATGCAAACGGGATTTACACTTCTTGCACTTATTGACTCCTTTTCCAAAAGTGCACAAAAGTCACGAAATTCTGTTGAATCTCGGTGAGGACGTGTCCTCGAATAAATTTTTTTTCCTAATTTCTTATAGAGTCCTGATAGGATGACTTTTGAGAGGCATATTTTTCTATTATGTACTCAAGAACGTATGTGAGTATTGACGATGACAATTCAATGTTAATTGTAAATACGAGACCTGTTTTGGGTGAAATTTTTGAAAATTTTTTAATGGCGGAGAAATTGGTTAAAAATTTTTTTAAAAAATTCTACCTCCGATATTCCTCTGTAATCCTGGTAGTAAAACCGAGGATAATTGACATATCTATTATGTAGCTTATGGACGAGCAGTACGAGGAATCTCCGGGATAATTAGCTCGCTGCGGGGGTATGGGTTTTAAAGACCTCCAACGAAATTACCAACGCCATTCATCATTCCTTCTCGAAAAGGCAGAGGCGATTAAGTTTAGCTGCTAATTCCCATTAGGATTGGTTCCCATTGTGCGGTAAACAGAAGTGCTTTGAAAACGAGACAAAGGCTCGTAATATCGCGTTTTACGCCATTTTTTCAAATATTTTTCACTGACTCGACGTTCATAGAACCCTGCTTAATAATACGCGAAAATTGACTTTCAGCAGAATTTAAATTTACCTATTTGTCGAAAAATTTTCAGAAATACTTTCTAGCCTTATCTGACGTCCTAATTAAAATATAGAAAAAGTGCAACGAATCACATCAATGCACTTTTCCATTAAAATCATACCGCATTTCCTTTATACTGTCCCAGTAGGTCGACTCGAAAACGAAAATAGACTTTTCGCACAGCGAAGACTTCGCTCGAAATACCAATTTATTCCCTACGAAATACATGGATGGTAACAGCCATGCAAATGCATGCAGTATAGGAGGGTAGTTTTCTTAAAAACCTGCATCCTCATTCTAATACCCTAATACAGTCCAAGACGTTAATCCATCTCATTAGCTTCGACGTGAAGCGCAGCAATAAAACCGGTGCTCAAATGACTTATTGGCTGGACGTCCCATTGACAAGGAAATAAAAATGAAAAATTCCCCTGGTAATTCCACCGTCGATCCTCTTGCCTGAGAGAAAAAGCTATAGGACCCCGTAGCCAACTTCTTCACCATTTATACTAGCCTGACAAGTACCGCTACGTTCATGGTGTTTCTCTACCGTTTCCCATAGCAACAGTCGAACTCCTATGCACCTACCGTCTATAGCTTGACCCAGCTAAGCTCCGAAGAAAAAAGCGACGATCTCGACAAAGACACGATACACATTTGTACTCCGAGGAGTGGGTCTGAATAAGCATTCCCAAAGTATGTAAGTAACAGGGGTGCCCGAAAAAAAAGTTTTAACCCGCTTCCAGGATACCACATGGAAACGGGTGGTACCTTTGGCATTAGGTTTGTAATTCTAAAATATACATTCCCAAATACAACCATATACGTCACGTGACCCGATGTAGCTCGAGTACCGAGTTTCTATGCGTCGCGCGGTAAAGCGATGAAAATAAGGGCGACAAGAGAAAAAGGGAACGAAATTGTTAAGCAAACGGAAAGCAGCCGAGTGCCCAGGAACGTAGGTGCCCCCTGCCAGCGTTCTCGGATGGGGTGAATCTAATTTGATTTAATTAGAATATATTTGCCTGGTTAAAAGTTTCTAGCTCTACGACGGTATATCAGCCTGATAACTAAATTTATCAAATTATGCGTAGAGAGCGCGGAGCCGAGCCGTCGTTTATCGTCGGGTGGGCGTGGAGTTTGGAAGTCGCTTGTGAAGAGTTTAAGGGGTGCCAGGGGCACCTGACAGTAGGGCTCCGAGTTTTTTGCCAGTAGTCCTGCCCGGACCTTAAACCGATAAGACTCCACTCGAATTTAACAACCGTCCCTGAAAGTCCGATTATACCATCTCATTAGCGGTAGAGCCAATTAAATAAATGCATGATTAAAATTATATCAGCATTAACAGGTCCCTTTTTATGATCAGCCATAGTTCGAAAAAGGTTCTACCGGTCCTTCAAAAGTATTTCTGATCCCTCCGTAGCTTTCTGCTACCCTAATGCTTCGGACCACAAGCTTCTGCTCCGTACTTCGGTCAGTACCCTGTATTAAAATATACGTAAGGACGAACCTTCAAAATTTTCATACACGAACCTTCCAAGCATTTCTCGAGCGCTACGAGCAAATCAATAATATAACATTAATTATCATTTCACGGTTCTGCAGGTTATTTAGCATCGATTACTGCCTAATATATTTACAGGCATAATAATAACTAGCACAATTCGCTTTGATGAATTTTCCAGCAACAGTAATGGGTTCCTCGGGTTCCATTTAGACTCGAATAGCACGCAATGTTAGTACAGTCTCTCTCACAACTTAATGCTGAAACAATGTAACCTAAGCGAAATACCAGTGACGTAGGTACTCGGAAGGGCTGTGGGGGTTGCCTGTCTATCTCGTCCTTGACCATAGACAATGCTCAAGTATCCCAACCCCCCCTGTCTTTCCTTGCTAGGAGAACGAAAACTGTTAAGCGCTCCGCTGTAAATGGAAGGAAAAGACCAAGTAGTTTTATGATTATAATAGCCTAACGGTAGTATCCAAAGGTCTTTCGTCGCGACTTTGACCCTTTGACCTGAGTTTCCATTGTATGCCGACTCTTCTATCGGACGCTATAGGGTGTAACGGACAAGATCACATGCCTCCCTAATTCCCTTAAAGGAATACCTTCGTTCGATCATACCGTCCTAGTCAGTCGAGACATGAACTTTTGTTACATTAACCCTTTGAGGATAGGATCAATTAGCAGGAGTGACACTATACGTATAGTTCACCCTGTTCTTTTTTCAACGCCTCAGTCATTACGTCCCCTAACTCCTGAAAGACTTACTGCCCTGGTAACTTTCTAGAGCACTTCGAACCCCTTTGGGCCTCGACTCCTTCATGCTCTTCTAATCGCACAGACGGTAGCTCGAACTGATTCACGGAACTCAACGTAATACTTGACTCGATTATAAAGGGGTCTCCGTCGCTTGAATTCACTTGGCTCTTTGGCTCAAGAGACTCGCGTAATTTTAGGCATAACGCAATTCTCACTTTCCGGGAATTATGGGGAATATGTAAAGTCATTATGGCGTCGCTGCTCGAGGTACCTTACACCGTTGTTCCCTATGACTTCCTCGAGTACCACGTGTGCCATCCGCCAACACACTCTTTTCCCTTAGCACCAAAAATATCAGCCCTTCTCCACTCTGCTATCCTGATACTCCGAGTTCTCAGCGTGTTAGAAACTTTAACCCTTTCTCACGTAGGAGCGCTCGCTGATTGGTTCGACCTTAATCGACAAAGACCATTCTAACCGTCTACCACCCACCCTCCGCCACCCTCCACCACCCTCCGCCAAGGGATATCAGAACCGAGATATCCTCTTCGTACTTCCTGCTCCTCTGCTTCATATGTGGAGGGTAACGTGTCCCCAAGCCACATGTTCTCACGCATGCCACTCGACTCGCGCAAAGAACCATGTGAGCCTCCGACGTGCGAACCACCCGTCATGCGTCTCGGACGTTTCTTGCGACTCTTGTCTGTGGTAAAATCCAGTTTAACGAATTTTTCGAGTTAAAATTTTCATGAGAACGAAATATAAATTTTACGCTTCAGTCACTGATACGATTATACTAAATTTCGAACTTCCAATTGTGCTTATGCCCACTATCCGAAGTAACTATTTAACTATTTACCCGTAACTATTTACGAAGGTATTACAGATATTCACTTAGTGATGCAGCATACCGATTCTGTGTGAAAGCAAATGAAAATTTGCGCTTTACTGACCAAAGAACCTTATAACGTTACGCCGGCAGGGTAGCCAATCGATATAACCCCTTGGGCTCTATCGTACGGATAGAGGGTGGTAGCATTCAGT